AGAGAGAGAGAGAGAGAGAGAGAGAGAGAGAGAGAGAGAGAGAGAGAGAGAGAGAGAGAGAGAGAGCTGGGGGACTGCTTTACAAGAAGTCCAAAACGTACAGCTGCCCTGTGCAGACAAGTCCCAGTTGGGGGATGGAGAGAGATTGAGGGGCATATTCAGCGAGCCCAGAGAGAATAGGGTGGACTCGAAGCTTAGCGCGACGTCCCGTGTGCCTGTACCTTGGAGATGCGCGAGCCGACAGCTCGGCAGACCTGTATGCCAACTGATCGACCGGAGTTGTTCAGCAAGCGCACGAGAATCGAGACAATGAACCCACGCGTGAGCTGAACTGCGGCAGTCATTATTTCAGGGCGAGTGAATCTCTGCAGACGTGCAGACTGCAGTGGTCAGGCTCCGAGAGAGGAGCGAGTTTCCTGACGACTGCTAGGCTAGCTTTCTGTGGAGTCGCGTGTGGACTGTAGCAGGCAGACTTTCTCGTGGATCGAGTCCGGAAGTCAGTCATCCGGCCATATATACACTGACAGTGCATACTCGACCGATCGACGTCCAGGGGGGAAACTGAACCGCTGCTAGGCTGGGCAGACACAGAAGAAAAATTCAAGAAAAGACGAGCAAGGCATGGGCAGACACAGAAGAAAAATTCAAGAAAAGAGAAGAGGTGTTCGGCGAAGAGGAGATATCGGCGAAGAGGGGAACTGGATGGGCCCACTGGGACTAATCGAACAGCTCCACTGGCAGCTCGTAAGAAGCGCTTGTTCCTAGAACAGGTCTCACCGTCTAAGTGCCAAGTTACAACAGATCGGTCATTTTCTTTCGACGACAAAAAATTTAAATGTTTACCGCCTTCCGACGAGAGCAAGCAAATGCCAAGTGACTGCACTTCATCATGATCATTTCAAAATTGCACAACTTCGATAAGGAACATGACACACTAAGAATCGGTTCTTGGAATTCACGATTCACGAACACGGACCAACTGTTTCTCTCAATTTGTTCCCGTTGAAAATCGAATATTTGTGTCCTCGAGGTTTTGACTCTGGCAACGACGAAGCACCTTCGACTATTTATAGAGCACAGCACACACAGAACCTTCATTCCATGAGATAACGAGAGGACCATGTCACCATGACCGTCAAGAGGAGGATAACTCACCGCAAGTTCCGAAGAAAACCTGCAGCGCCTGCCGGGACAACAAATCGGCAATATCCGGGAAGGGGCTCTTCGACGCCACGGTTCCCAGTGCAGACAGCTCCACCAACGGCGGCGTACTCAACTCCTTATGCATGTGCCAGCACCCCAGAGGAACCGCCATGATGGACCTCTCTCTCTCCCTCCCTCTCTCTCTCTCTCTCTCTCTCTCTCTCTCTCTCCCCCACCCGAAAATACCCCTACTTCGACTCGATTGCGAAGCCGAGCCCTCGGTATTTACGACACTGCAGCAGTAACGAGCGAAACGGATGCTTGAAAACTGAGCACCAAAGCCACTCACTGTCCCAGACGAAACAGATGTGCCTGCAAACCAGAGAGTAGCTCAGTGTCCCAATCCTGCAAGTGCCTGCGTCACCCTTACCTGACTGGACGCTGAGACCGCGGCTGACAAATGACAAATGACACGAGACAAACCACCCGTGTAGTACTAGGACTTAAGCAGCTAGGGAAGAGCGGGAGGGGCGGAACCTCCGTCAGCGAGTCGGACAGCACGACAAGGTTGGCTATGGAGGACAGAGAAGCAGAGAGCCCGATATGAACAAGGAGAAAAGGGGGGGGGGGGGGGGGGGGGGGGGGGGGGGGAGTCGCAACCTTCCAACACTATTTGTACAGGAACTCCATGGAGTCACAAGAGCTCATCAAACTGCCTCTCTGAGTCTTCCTGTCGTTCTCCTGGGAATCCCTCCCTTCGTCCTCTACTTTCCTTTCCTCTCTCCTCTCTCCTCTCCTCTCCTCTCTATCTCCTCGAGCTGCGCACAACTCTCAGCACACGCAAGCTGACGAAGGCCTTTTCAAAGACAAACCGCCGCGGCCGCTTTCTGGAATCACGGCATTATCGGTGCTCTCGATGCCGCGCGGCACACGGAACGAATAACGAAAGGAGTGCATCTTCCCACATAAAATGTACAGGCTCTTCGGTTTGCTATAAATAGTAACGAGTGCATGTTGTCACCTTTCATGGGCAAATGCACTCGTTTCGTTTTCGTTTCGTGTGAGGCCCTTCCTGTGTGACGCGGCGGCAACCAGCGCCACCACCATCGGACAGCGATCGTGCGCCGCACCGCCGGTAACTAAACCGGCCTTCCTGCGAACGGGCGCGCCACGCGGCTGGCATGATATCCGAAGTCACTCTCCCGCCTTCTGGGGGGCCAATTCTAAAAACACACTTGGAAAAAAAAAAAAAAAAAACACTCGGAGGAGAGGCCCTCGCCGCCCTACTCACCAAATGTGTGAAATGTGTGAAATGGAGAACGCATCTTCCCCTAAAACGCTCAAAGATTCAACTGCCATAGCTTTCGTTGTTTTCGCATTCCGCGAGTGGCGCGGTGAGGCCGCAAAAAGTCTGGGGTGCTGCTGGACCCGATTTTCCCCGCGCGTGACGCTGGCCCCGCCGGGGGATCACTGCGATCGCGAAACGAGGCCCAGGTCCATCCGCCGCGAGCGCCGCAGTCCCCCCGGAACCGCGCGGCACCCGCGCTAGTTCCTTCTCCTCCGACATAGAAGCCTGCGGACTGATGTTCGTCCGGACGGAAGTACAAAAACAGAGAAGCGGACTGATGTTCGGAAGTGCAAAAAAAAAACAAAAAAAAGAGAAAAAACAGAACCGTCTGGCGGGAAATAACGACCACACTCTACCCACGAGGACTTTTCCCGCGAAGCTCTGGACCTGATTGCCGTCAGATTCATCGTGGTGTGTGGCGCCGTTATTGCAGTCAGGTGCATTCTGGAAAGTCCTACCGTAGTGTAATTTTGCCTCACTCACAGCCGCCGAAGTCCTCAGTGACGACCTCGGCCGGCTGTTACAGTATAGGGCGAAAAAAAAAAAAAAAAAAGTGTAGGGCGTAGTAGTCGCCGTCCGCCGCAGCTTCGTATGCCTTGTCGTTTTGCTTGCGCCTCCACGCCCCACATCGGTCCGCTACATAACACTGTATACGTATTTGGTGCTCCTAATCGTCCCGATTCGTTCAAAATGTTGCAGTAAACCGAATGCACCTGCTGCAGTAAGCGTCCAAATGCATGCGGAGTGTTATGTAGTGGACCGAGGATCTATGCCCGGCGTCGTCTTTGCGACAGAGTTTGCGACCAGGGATGACGATGATGGCTGCCAGTGGACTTAGGTCACCTGGCAAATCAATCAGGTGGTGAGATTCAGGTTACTTCGCATCGCGCACTGGAGTGGAGTCTCTTTTTTTTTTTCTTTTTCTTAAGAATGGAGTCTCCCCATATGCACATTCTTTCGTTTTTTTTTTTTTTTAATATGCACATTCTGAAAGGGGAATGTGCCACCTACTTCGGAGTATCTATTTTGATTTTTATTTCGTATTTTTTTGGGCAGGCGGGCAAATTAGGGGCTAATTTTTAAAAATTGTATGTGCATGTATTTACATATATTAATTAAGGTTAACTATCGTCCAGCAGAACTGCCCGGTAAACCGTAGGCAGAGAGGGAGAAGAGAACACCAAACGAGGGGCTGTGACAAACTGGTTAGTTGGAGTTTCATTGACTCATTAGGAAGCTGAATATATATATATATATAGGGGCAAACTTCATTGAGTGGTAGTCGGCGCAGCATATTCCTACTGGAGACTGGCTTGTCGCGAAGCAGATGCCTCAACCGCCACCTCGACCGGAGAAACGACTGGTTCATGCACCACAGGCTGGGAATCATTGCCGATGAGGGCGACGTATCATTCCGTTTTTATTTTATTTTTTTCCCTTTTTCTCCTTGTCTCCAAAGACAAGCGGTGTAGGAGATGGTTGAGGTCCGCGCCTGTGTAAGGGCATCGCCACACCACTCTGCAAATGTGCAAAATGAGAATGAACTTCCTGCTAGAACATGGTCAGATGCCCCCGCCACATTTTTTTATTTTCCCCTTTTTTTTTCTTTTTTTTTTTTGAGAAGGTGGTCACCTTTTCCACATTTCGACATCGGTGTGGCGCGCCTGTATAAGTAAGGGGATTATCCCCTGACATCGTTGTGTCCAGCTGGACTCGAGCGCGGGATCTGTGCAACAGCAGTTACTTCTGTGTGCATCGTCGATCGTCGGCCATCAGCAGATACCTTTGATTGTTGTTCTCAGTCTCTCTGCGTGTCAGCCTCGGGGCAGCGGCCACGTGCGAAACCACCCGTTAGAAATAGAACGGTACACGGAGGAGAGAGATGAATAGCATGTGGGCCTCGGCACACAACGCTCGAAACGTGAAAAAGACAAAAATGGGGTGGGTGCATCTGGCCATGTTCTAGCGGGAAGTTCATTCTCATTTTGCACACTTGGAGAGTGGTGGGCGATCCCCATAGATCATATATTTGACGATGTACGCATTTGATCGTAATTCAAAATATTAATTATTCAATAGATTTATTGAAAAATGAATTCTTCTCAATTTTAATAAAAGATCAAATGAACTTTAATGAAGATATATGACATAGATCATAGCCCCTACGCAAAGTTACCCTTAGCTACCTTTGATTGATCTTCCAAAACTAAAGACAAAGACAAAAAGTTAGTTGGGAAAACGAAAAGCCAAAGACAAGAAATACCAAAACTAGAACTGCCAACAAACCCAGATAGTTGCCTTGCTGCCTCCCCTGATCGGTATTGTAGGGCCTTTAGCCAAACGGGGGATTGTGTCTTGTGACGTTCGCGGTACGCAACTCCAATTGAAAACAAAGGGACGACTGTGCCAGACTGTTTCGTCGGTCTTGTCGAACTTTTTTCTCTCTCTCTCTCTGCTCTCTCTCTCTCTCTCTCTCTCTCTCTCTCTCGCTCTCTCTCTCCCCCTCTGTGTGTGTGTGTGTGTGTGTGTGTGTGTGTGTGTGTGTTGTCATATTCGCTATACACTGAAAAAAAAGTATGACTATGGACCTCGTTGCACTACTCTCGAAATGTGCAACAGAGAGTGAATCTTCCGCTAGAACATGGAAAGATGCAGGGCCATGATTTTTGTCTTTTGTGCATGTCGAGAGTAGCGCAGCGAGGCGCAATGCCGTGTGTGTGTGTGTGTGTGTGTGTGTGTGTGTGTGTGTGTGTGTGTCGTGTGTGGGAGTTGGACACTGCTCTTGCTGGATGGGGTCAGGTGAAGTGGATGGGCCTCGCTGCACTACGTACCAAATGAGCAAAATGAGAATGAATCCTCCGCTAGGACATGAAAAGATACAGCGCCATATTTTTTGTGGTTTGTGCATGTGGAGAGTAGTGGAGCGAGGCCGAATGGGAGGCGCACCTACCAGCTACTGGCAAATGCTCGGTTGCTGCGTTAGCCGGCCCCACCCTGACAACAGCAGATTAGGGCGGGGGGCAAAACATGCATCCCCTCCGATTGTGAGAGCTAACTATGCTTGCAGCGCTCCCCTGCGTAAGCTTAGGAGTAGTGGTCGGTAGGTACTAGGTAGTAGAAAGGCGAGCTTTAGGGGGAAATATGTCTAAGTTTGAAACAGAAAAGGGAAGGGAACCAAAAAGAAGAAAATGGTATTGCCCCATACTCCATCGTGTTTTTTTTTTTTTTTTTTKKTTTTTTTTTTTAATGTGGCCCGATGGACCACGGATCAGATATTAAACTGATCAGAATCGTTTTCCTCTGAGACTCCCCCTTATTTTCCCGATGGACCACCGATCAGATATTAAACTGACCAGAGCAGATACTATACTTGATCTCGGTCCAAAAGGCAGAGAAATGAGAAACCAAAGAGACAGAAAGGAAGAGAAGGAGGATTCGAAGAGAAAGAAGAAAGAAGAAGGGTAGGTCAACCAAGAACTCCAAGACGAACAGGAACAAGAACAAGAACAAGAACAGGAACAAGAAGAGGACGACAATCAGAGGAAGAACAAAAAAAAATAAAAAAAATAAAAAAAATCAGAGGAAGTCAAAGACACTGTAGAGGACCAGAGACCAGAGACCAGAGACCACTCGAGTCAGTCCAAAACATCGTCATCATAGCTCTCGGGAGCACAAACGAAGGTCAAAATATAGTGATGACACCAACATGAAGGGACGACGACAACACGAAGCTCAACCCTCGGCACTGCCGACGCAATGCTCTGGCGAAGTGACTCTACGGTTCCCGTTTTGGCCGGGCGCACCACCAGACCTCTTCAGGAGTTCTTTGCTATTGCTAGCTCCTAGCTCCAAGAGCAAATAGCAAAGACTCCGGTGGTCTATGGACTCATATATACCGAGGCCTACTTGAGCTCAACTCAGAAAAGGGCCCGTAAGCCAGACAGAATTTGACAGAACAGACTAGTTGAACGCAACTCAGAAAAGGACCGGTAAGCCTGACAGAATTTGACAGAACAGACCCCAAACAGAAAATCACGGTCGGACAAAGGCCTTCCGCAAGACACTAACCGGATTAGCAGTAAGGGACTATTCCTACCAGAAACAAAAAATCTCACTGAACGATCATCGGGTTATACCCCCCGGACCACCCGTTACGGCGGCCGTGAACGCGGCTTGCAGTCATGGCCATGACTTCCACGGCCACGTGGCAACCGGAGGGGGGGGCGTCCGGGGGTGGGAGTTGCGGATTGGGGTTCCGGAACACCAACCCCACCCCACAGCAAAAACAAAATATGAAAAAATGATTTTTTTTGAGGGGGGGGGTGTAGGTGGAAAAGATTTTTTTTTAAAAAGCAAAGAAAAAATCTTGATTGATTGACTGATTGATTGGATGAATGCGGATGCGCATTTGATTGTATGTTTGATTGGTTGAGTGATGGATTGATTGAGGTTGATTGATTGATTGACTGATTGATTGATTGGTGGGCCCCCGCACACACACTCACACGGCACGTTGAAAGAACGCATTCTTTCTTTTTTTTGACTCTTTTT